TCCATCCTTTATGAGAGAGCCACCTGCTCTTGGAGAGGGCAGATGTGGACTCGGTCTGGGGTTTCTTGGCCTCTTTCTTGCAGGTGGCGGGAGGTGTTTTTTAAAGTGAAGAAAACAGTTGGGGAAGCCCCAGCTGGGCCAGCCAGTGTCTTCCTGGCGGATACCACCCACACCTCTTTATACATGGTAAGGCCTTGGGCGGGAGGAGACCTGGCAGCAGGGCGGGAACACTAGAGTCATGGGCCTCTTCCCACCTTTCACAGGCAGGCTCTGCCCTGAGCCGTGTTCCACTGCTGCCTTCAGGAAGGTCCACTCCCTGGGACAGCTTGTCTCCTCCAGGCCTGGAGGCCTTGGTGAACGAGCTCTGTGCCGTCCTGAAGCCTCACCTGCAGCCTGGGTGAGTGAGGTGTGAATCCAGGCCTGAGAAGGGCCTGCTCAGAGCATCACTGCGGAGCAACATCCAGAGAAGTAGTTCCCAATAGTCCACCCAGAGTTGGGGGCCGCAAGCCAGGACACCTAGTCCAGGCCACCAGCAGACTCCCAGGTGCTGTCTCTGAGCCTGCTTTTCTGCTTGGGGAGTCCATGATCCGTCCTGGCCTTTACCACTCCATCCCTGAAGGACACAGTGCCCCATTCCAGTGGCCCAGGTCTAAACCCAGACCCCTCCCTGTGCTCTTCAGACTAGAGCTCTCAAGCTAGGCTTCACTGAAGGCACGGTGGTCTGTGGCTGCAGAGCACTCTGAGTTCATTGCTTCTGCCTGAGCACCAGAGAGGGTAGAAGACAGGGCCTCAGAGTGGAGACAGCCTGAATGGGGGTTAGGGAGAGGCACAAGGAGAAACAGGATGCTTTGGGGGCCCAAGGGTCCCTGTGTTACTGGAGTCTTAACATTGGGCCAGAAAGTGGCGGACAGTGTATATTCCTTAATTGCAGAGGAGCCTTGCTCACAGGAAGCAGCTGTGTACTTCTTCGAGGGCCCCCAGGCAGTGGGAAGACCACAGCAGTCACGGCTGCGTGTAGCCGCCTTGGGCTCCATTTATTGAAGGTGAGGGCCTCTGGAGAGGATCCCAAGCACTTCCCCCCAGCCCACATTCTGCCTCTCTCTCTTCCTCTGTTCCCTCTTTACCACCTAGCAGCCCTAACCCTGGAGCCTGGTAGTCTAATGTATAACAGCCCATGATGCTCAGCTCCTCAGAGGTCCTTTCAAGGTTGCATATCCCAAGGAATGGATAGGGTAGAGAAAAGCTAAGACCCGGTCAGTGTTCCTCCTGCGCCCATCCCTGCTCTCCACAGAAAGACCGTCTGCTTCTGACCCCTCCCACCTCTCTCCCTTCCACAGGTGCCCTGCTCCAGCCTCTGTGCAGACAGCAGTGGGGCCATGGAGACAAGGCTGCAGGCCATCTTCTCCCGGGCCCGCCGCTGCAGGCCTGCTGTCCTGTTGCTGACGGCTGTGGACTTTCTGGGCCGGGACCGCGATGGGCTGGGAGAGGATGCCCGTGTGGTAGCCACACTGCGTCACCTCCTCCTTGATGAGGACCCTCTCAGCAGGTACTTACAGAGAGGCGGGTGACGAAGGGGAATCCCCCTCCTAAGTCTTTGCAGCCCTTTATTCCTTATTTCCTCACCCCTGCTGGCTTCTCAGAAATCTCACCTGCCTATCCAGGGCCTGGATTCTTAGGAGTCACCAGACGTAGGAGGGTGCAGTCTAGCATTTTGGAGGAAGCACGAGATTGAAGCCTTTGTCCTCATGAGCTCCCCCTGTGACGCACAGACCCCCCCTCAATAGTGTCCCCACAGGTCGTGCTGGGACTTTGGGTGGCGCTCGTCCCTACCCAATCCCGACACCAGTCATCCCCACAGCTCGAGCTGTTGGCTGTGTCCTACACTCGGCCCGTCCCTCTGTCTGCAGCTGCCCTCCGCTGATGGTGGTGGCCACCACAAGCCGTGCCCAGGACCTGCCCGCTGATGTGCACACAGCATTTCCTCATGAGCTGGAGGTGCCAGTGCTGTCCGAGGATCAGCGGCTCAGTGTCCTGCAGGCCCTCACTGCCCACCTTCCCCTGGGCCAGGAGGTGAACCTGCCCCAGCTGGCACGACGCTGTGCGGTGAGTGTCTACGCAGGTTCCTCGTCACACTAGGACTTCGGTCCTGCATGAGGTGGTGTCCTGTGAGACGGGAAACCGCCAGAGCCTCTGCAGCTGGAGTCCAGACCCCACGGGCTCGACCTGCTACGCCATGCCCATGTGTCCTTTTGTATAATTCCCTAGGGCTTTGTGGTAGGGGACCTCTATGCCCTTCTGACCCACACCAGCCGGATAGCCTGTGCCAGGATCAGAGCCTCAGGGTAAGAGGGACTCACCATGGGGAAGGTGGCCGGGCAGGTGGGGAGAAAGCAGTGGAACCCGCAGAGAAGTCCTGTCTCATTTTCTTGTTCTCGCTGTTGTTTAGTGACAGTCTTAATCTGTAACCTGGTTGACCCGGTCCTTTTTTTATTTTCATTTTTTTAAGACAGGGTCTCAGCCTTGGCTGCCCTGGAACTCACTGTGTAGTCTTACAGGCGTAAGCCTAGCCCCACGTTTCTCTCTGTAGTTTGGCAGATAGCTTGAGTGAGGAGGATGAGGGGGCGCTGTGTGCAGCTGGCTTTCCCCTGCTGGCTGAGGACTTTGGGCAGGCCTTGGATCAACTGCAAACAGCTCACTCCCAAGCTGTGGGTGCCCCCAAGGTGAGAACCAGGTCCTCGTGGTGGGGCAGGTGCTCCCCCCTTGCGCCTCCCTACCCTACACTCCTGTGTCTCCTAGATCCCTTCAGTGTCCTGGCACGATGTGGGTGGGCTGCAGGATGTAAAGAAGGAGATCCTGGAGACCATCCAGCTCCCTCTGGACCACCCTGAGCTGCTAAGCCTGGGCCTGAGACGATCAGGCCTTCTGCTCCATGGGCCTCCAGGCACTGGCAAGACCCTCCTGGCCAAGGCAGTGGCCACCGAGTGCAGCCTCACCTTCCTCAGGTCGGCAGGCGTGGGAGGAACCGTGGGAGGCTGGGACTGCGGCAGGCTGGTGGGAGGGCGGGAGGAGAGGACAACTGTATACGCTGAACACCTGTGGTGGGTCTCACTCATCCGTCTATCGCTCAGCGTAAAGGGACCAGAGCTCATCAACATGTACGTGGGCCAGAGTGAGGAGAATGTGCGGGAAGGTGAGTGAGCAGGGAGAGGCGGAGCCTTGGGTCCTTCTCCAACTCCAGGGCCTCACCTTCCTCCCCCAGCTGCCGCTCATGGTCAGCCGAGTGGGGCAATTGTCTGGGCTGAACTGCCGGCCCGTTGCCCGCCCTCCCTTCCCCCTGACTTCAAGCCCCCTGACACCCTCCTGCGAGCCTCTCTGTCAGTGTTTGCCAGGGCCAGGGCTGCTGCTCCGTGCATCATCTTCTTTGATGAACTAGACTCCTTAGCTCCAAGCCGGGGGCGAAGCGGAGATTCTGGAGGTGTGATGGACAGGTCAGGAGTCCAGTGTGGAAATGGAGTCTGGGATCCCAGATGGGAGGGATGTGAGATTAGTCTTCAGGTCGGGGATCTGCCCTTCCAGTTCAGAGCTGGTAGAAGGGAAGCTAAAAAGGAGTTGGGTGTGGAACTTTGAGGAGGAGGGCTGCCTGTGTGGAGAGGGACGTGGTGCCGAACTCAGCAAAGACCTTGCTGAAGTAGCCTTCAAAGAGACGCACAGCAGCCTGAGGGCACACCAAGGACTCTCTGGCCTTTGCCTCCTCCCCACAGAGTGGTGTCTCAGCTCTTGGCCGAGCTGGATGGGCTCCACAGCACTCAGGATGTGTTTGTGATCGGAGCCACCAACAGGCCAGACCTCCTGGATCCTGCCCTTCTGCGGCCTGGCAGGTGGGTATCCTGGACCTCTCTTCCCAACCAGACCCCTCCAGGCTTGTGTCTTGACCTCTGCATATCCTTCACCTCTCATGGCTGGCAGCCCTGATGCTTTTACTGTTTCTATCTCTGAAGGTTCGACAAGCTGGTGTTTGTAGGGGCAAGTGAGGACCGCGCCTCCCAGCTGCGTGTTCTGAGCGCCATCACACGCAAGTATGCTTTGTCAAAGAGCTGGGGCCTTGGGATGGCCAGGGAGGGTGTGCCAGTCAGTGAGGCTCTGGAGGGGGAGGTGAAGCCAGCTTTAACATTTCTGGTATGGGTGTAACAGGTTCAAGCTGGAGGCCTCTGTGAGCCTGGTGAACGTGCTGGATCGCTGCCCACCCCAGCTGACAGGTGCAGACCTCTATTCTCTCTGCTCGGATGCCATGACAGCTGCCCTCAAACGCAGGGTTCGAGACCTGGAGGAAGGTGAGCCCACTCGCCAGTCCCAGAGGGGAACCAAAACGCTAGTGGGAGGCGGGCCTGGCCCTGCATTTCAGAAGGACAGCTGAGCAGGAAGGTGCCTCCCCAGGGCTCCCTCCTTCCTAGGCACAGACCAGGCCTCGGTTCTTCAGCTAGGTGGACTCTGGCCTTACCCTTCCTTGCCGCCCCTCAGGGCTCGAGCTGGGGAACTCAGCACTGCTGCTCACCATGGAGGACCTGTTGCAGGCCGCAGCCAGGCTGCAGCCCTCAGTCAGTGAGCAGGAGCTACTCCGGTACAAGCGCATCCAGCGCAAGTTTGCCGCCTGCTAGGAGCTGCCTGCCATCTTTGTCTGCATCTGCCCACACTGCTGAAGGTACCTGCTGCCATGTCACCTGAAGGCTGCCTTCCCCCAGGAGATCCCCTGTGAGCCATAGTGGGAGGCCCTTGTGTTTGGGAGGAGGGCCAGACCTGACAGCCTGGGAGCTTGGCAACCTGGGAATCGGTTGAGGTACCAGTTCTGTGACAGAAAATAAACTTTATACTGCCCCCTGCTGGTGGTGCAAGGGGTCGCGGTGCAAAGGGCAAGGGTATGGGAGGATTCAGGTCTGGGGCGGGGAGGGGATGGACACCATGGGAGCATGTCACTTCTGAAAGAGACACATGGCACAGGGGGATTGAAAAAGGACAGACTGTATTGTTGACTCCCCGTTTGCCTGACCCCACATCCCTGCACCCAGCTGCAGAATCTATGTTAGAGTTGGTCTTGGGATGGGGACCTGAGTTAGTCCCACCCCAGAGGCTGCCACTGTCTGGGCAGGAGGCTTACAGGATCCAAAGCCACACTCAGCCAGTCTTCTTGAGCACATGGATGAAATAGCAGGGGACATAGGCTTGGCCGGGCTTGTAAGGCTTGAAGTCGCCCAGGACGCTGTGTTGGCACTTGCCCCCGAAGGCTGCTTGGAGCAACTCCGTGAAGGACGCCAAACAGTGTGGGTAGTAAGAGAGCCGGAACTTACTGCAACAGGGCCCCCAGCCAAGCATGAGGGCTGCTGGCCTCAGCTCTCCCCACCTCCATCACCTCACTGCCGCCAAACCGTGCCATACCTGAAGCCAGGAGAGCCGTCTCTGCCAGCGCCTGGCACCTGCACTGTGTAGTCCAGGGTCACCATGTGGGCCTTGTTGTTCACTGCCAGCACTGAGGTTGTGATGTCCTTGGTCAGGTCACTCTGTAAGCAGCGGTGGCAGCAGCTGCATTAGCTTCCATAAGCCACTGTGGGGCTTCTGGCCTCCACTCACACCTCCCACTCGGGGCCAGCCCAACCTTATAGTAGATGTTCTTCCCTTGGGGTGCATAGCCTGTGCTGAGGATGTGGTCGTAGTTACGGTGATCGATGACCAGCAGGCCCCCGGGCCGCACCATGCTTGCAATGTTCTTCAGCGCCAGCCGGTGGTCACTCTGGTCACCTGGGTGCCAGGCAGGGCCACAGACACCATCTGCTTGGGCCTCCAGCACCAACTCCCTCCCATCTCCCTCCCAAGCGCCAACACTAAGGAAGAGAGGCAAAAAGCAGGTCTGCCTTGTGAAGGCAGCCAGCCAGCCACCATCCGAAACGGCAGAGCTCACGGCAAAAGCCACAGCCAAGGCCACACACTCGCTCACCTTTGCAGTCTGGCAAGTGAGCAAAACTGTTCCCAAGGCAGATGACGGCATCAAAGCCATCTCCTGCTGGCACATCTTGGTCCAGAGTCAACCAGTTAGCTTCTTCAATGACTGGAGGCCGGGGTGGGGATTGCAGAATCAGTGGCATCATAGTACAGCGGCAGCCGCCTCCACCCAGGGACACGTGGGACTCATTGGGGACATGGAGAGTGAAATGGGAGAGAGCCATTGTTGGAAAAGCCAGCTCTCTACTTACGGGCTTTCATAGTGGGGAGAGACAGGATGCTGTAGACAGTTAAAGTAGCTCTGCAGAGCCCCTGTGTTGGTGTGCACCTCTAGCCCCTGCTGGATGGAAAGCTGAGGCAGGAGAATCACTTGGACCTAGCCTAGCCAGAGCAGGCAACATGGGAAAGCAAAAATGCTGGCATAGCTCAGTTGTCAAGTGTCTACTTAGTGTGCCCAAAGTCAATGCCCAAGGTCAATCCCGAGCACCAAAAACACAAGCTCGGTCTTTCAGATTTATTTATTTACTATGCATACAGTGTTCTGCCTGCATGTATGCCTGCACACCAGAAGAGGGCGCCAGATCTCATTACAGATGGTTGTGAACCACGGTGTGGTTGCATCAGGACCTCTGGAAGAGCAGCCTGTGCTCTTAACCTCTTAGCCATCTCTCCAGTCCCAACAAGCCCATTCTTTACGCCTGGTATCTTATTCTGACAGCGAAGCCTTCCTCTTTAGGAGGATGACGGGAACTTCACTGTACCCCGAGGAAAACTGGTCAGCCCACGCCGCACAAAAGAGCTCAGGGCAGAGAGAAGAGTGCCCCTGGGAGCGTATGGCCAGGGCCCTGACTGGACCTACATACCCCACTTGTCAAAGGCTGGCTCCTGCCTCCGGTTCCAGCGCTCCTTAAGTGCGTATTTCAGCATCTTGTCACTGGCATCCACACTCGTCACGCTGAAGCCCTCTTCCACCAGCATAATAGAGTCCACTCTGGATGAGGTCAGAGAGGAGGGGCTGAGAGGACCACTTAGGAGAGCCTGGGAGGCCAAGGAGGAGGCCGTGCATATGACGTTTCTCCAAACATGGCATTTCACAGTCCATTCCTCTGCTTCCTGCCTCAGACCACCTCCACTAACCTCAGGTGGCCCATGAGTATATTCCTCTTTTTACTTTTATTTATTTTTTTTAGTGGAACAGGGCTTCACCGTGTAGCCCTGGCTATCCTGGAATTCACTCTGTAGACCAGGCTGGCTTCGAACTCACAGAGATCTGTCTGCCTCTGCCTTCTGAGTGCTGAGATTAAAGGCATACTCCACCACTGCCCGGGATGAGTATATTCCTTATACTTAGCAAAAAAGATTTTTTGAAGGTTTTTAGCCTGATTTACATAGTGAGTTCCAGGATAACCAGGGCTATAAAGAGAGACCCTGCCTTTAAAAACAAATTCAAAATTTTAATTTTATGTGTCTTGCCTGAATACATGCATCATGTGCATGTCTGGTGTCTGCAGAAGCCAAAGGAGGACATTGGGTACTGAACCTGGGTCTCTGTAAGAGCATAAGCACTCCTAACTGCTAAGCCATCGCCCCGGCCCCCTCTTATTTATTAGAGTTCGGGTCTCATATGGCCTGGAATGCACAGAGATCCACCTATGTAGGCCTCACTAAGTGCTGGGATTAAAGGTATGTGCCACCACACCTGGCAGCAATACTTTTTAATTTAAATTTACCCCCCCACACACACACACAGGGTTTCTCTGTGTTGCAGCTCTAGCTGTCCTAGAACTTGCTTTATGGACCAGGCTGGCCTTGAACTCCCAGAGATCCACCTGCCTCTGCCTCCCAAGTGCTGGGATTAAAGGCAAAATTTTTAATTATGTCTTATGTGTGCATGTGAGTGCAGTGCCCTCCAAAGCCAGAAGAGGACATTCAATTCTGGAATGGAGTTACAGACTATTGTGAACCAGCTGACGTAGGCACTAGGAACTGAATACCTGTCTTCTGTAAAAGCAGTGGGTGCTCTTTATTTGCTGAACCATCTCTCCAGCTGAATATTTTTTTAAAAATAATCGGAACCAGGCACTCTACAAATGTGCACTTGAGAACTGGGCACACGAGGCTCCTGGAAATAAAGTAACTCATTGAGAGGGGGCGGTACGTGTCCTGCTGGGTTGGAGTGTGGGCCAGACACTAACTGTCCTCGTCTGTACGCTCTCCACCAAATGCGGGCCTTTACTTCTCGGGAATGAGTTTCCTTGGTACTAATTGGAGAAAATCACTACTTCCCTGGTGGGGTTTTGTGACAGAATGAAACACATGTAACCCAAACTTTTGGCATAGCACTTGACTGTGCAAACAGGGCACAAATGTCCTGTTCACACTGCCCGAGGCCATCACAGGAGGCACAATGCTAGAGCCAAGGAGCCATCCAGCTTGACTGAAGTCCGGCTTATGAACCCTCCTCTGCTCACACCCTCGCCCTGGGCCAAGTCTCCTCGGCCCCCTCCCCACACTCACCGTGCTCATTCTACCCCGTGGGCAGGGACTCCTGACCCGCCAGTGCTGCCTGCCAGGCTCCAGCCCGCAAAGGCTGCCCCACTGGCCTTCCTGTGTGCGGCGGTCCTGGCCAAGCCAGTCTCTCTCTCTCAGCTCGTTTGGACTCACCCTGTGCCACAGGCCACGTCCAACACCCGATGGCAACCATGCTGGCGCAGCAGCCCAAGCAGCCACGCCTTGTACTCTGCGGTGCGGCTGCGGGTGTCCCCGATGTACAGCTGCCACACACGAGCGGCCTCCCCGTCTGCATACTGGTCGGGGATCCCTTCTGCCGCCACCCCCAGGGAGCGGGTCCGGTAAATGCTGTCCACCATCCTGACCTGCGCCTGGCTCCCCGGCCACGAGCTCCGCACTTATAGCCCTCAGGCAGGGCAGCCCCACCTGGCCAATGGCAGGTGAGAGCGGGGACACGCCCCCGCTGGGCCCCGAGCCCTGGAGCCCTGGGACCGCAGCCAGGCTGCCTCCGCAGTGGGGATGGCTTAGCCAGGCAATCCTGGACCTGGTTTTCCCTGTAGGACGCAGTTTGGTGGCCAAGGGCTAGGAGGAGCCGACAGAAGGCAGATCAATCCCTACCAAGTGAGAAAGGGAGACGCCTTTGAAGTCCACGCAAAGCAGAATTAGACCACGCCCAGCACAGTTGGGTGTCCCACTACTGACCGCAGGAGGAACACCCCACTGAAGAGAGCCACTGCGTCCGGGTGACGGGAAGTCAAGTGCAAGAGCCGAGTCCACCTGGAGATAGGTGTGTCTCTCATCAGGCCCCATCCCTCCTCCCATCCCTTTCTTAGGCCAGGAGCCTCCTAGTCTGGGCCTTCCAATCCCTGAGCTATACCGAGCACTCTCCTAGAGGCTGGGCGCAGTGAGGCTGAGGCAGGAAGATGCTCAGGAGTTGGAGCCAACCTGGGAATGTAAGACACCCATCGGCTCCCCATGCGGGTACAGGTCAGGAGCGGAGGTGCAGGTGCGTGGTGCCCTGGCTCTAACTAGCCTCACAATTTGAGGGTCGATTTGATTCGTCTACTCACCCTTCTAGTCCCAGCCAGGGTTCCTAGATTTCTCTCTCAAGGACAAGATCCCAGCAGGACTCTGATGTGGAGAAAGCCTTTCCCCACAAGTTCATACACTTCCAACTTCACAGACTGGTCAGAGCTAAGAATAAAGGAGCGCCCTTCCTTAGCCTTTCTGATGCAGGGAGAATCCCGGAGCGGAAAGAATACCCACGATCCTGTGATTGTTAACTTTCCTGTGTATTGTATGGTTGTTCTGACTGCATAGATGTCAGTGGGCCACATGTGTGTCTGGTGCCTGTGGAGACCAGAAGAGGGCATCAGATCCCCTGGAACTGGAGTTACAGTTGTGAGCCGTCACGTGGGTGCTGGGATATGGAACCTAGATCCTACGGAAGTACAGACAGTGTTTGGGTTTTCTTTTTTTTTGTTGGTTTGGTTGGGGTTTTTGTTTTGTTTTTTGCTTTTCCAGACAGGGTTTCTCTGTGTAGTCCTGGCTGTCCTGGAACTTGCTCTGTAGACCAGGCTGGTCTCGAACTCAGAGATCTGCCTGCCTCTGCCTCCGAGTCCTGGGACTAAAATGTGAACCACCACCTTCCAGCTGCAGCCAGGGCTTTTAACGGTTGAGCTATTACTCCAGCCCACATTTTTTACTTTTTATTGTTAGTACAGAGTCAATCTCAAATGATTCTGTCAAGGCTCAAATAATACAGCCTCGGGGCTCAGTGACCCTCAAGACAGGTCTGTGACACTAGCTCAGAAAGACTCTGAAGGCTGAGTGCCATGGTGCATGCCTGAAATCCAGTGCTTGGAGCGGAGCCTGAGAGGGTAAGAGCAGGAGTTCAACAAGGTTGTTCTAGGTGACAAAGTTCAAGGCCAATCTGGGCTACATCAGTCCCTGTGGAGGAAACTTGAAGTAAATCCAATGTCATTTATCAAAATATTCTTGGAGTAAATCTATCAACCCTAGACTTTTTTCAAATCTCATCTTAAATGACTATCATTTTATTTACTTACTTAGGTTTTAAAAATTGGGGAGCCGGGTGTGGTGGTTACTCATCTTTAATCCCAGCACTTAGGAGGCAGAGGCAGGTGGATCTCTGTGAGTTCAAGTCTAGCCTGGTCTACATAGTGAGTTCCTGGACAGCCAAGGCTATGTAGAGACCCTGTCTCAAAAAACAAGAAATTGCCGGGCGGTGGTGGCGCACGCCTTTAATCCCAGCACTCGGGAGGCAGAGCCAGGCGGATCTCTGTGAGTTCGAGGCCAGCCTGGACTACCAAGTGAGTTCCAGGAAAGGTGCAAAGCTACACAGAGAAACCCTGTCTCGAAAAACCAAAAAAAAAAAAAAAACAAGAAATTGTGTGTGTGTGTGTGTTTAGAAAAAAGTATGCCATGGCATGGACACGTGAGAGCTGCTTCCTGAAGTCAAGCCCAGGTCATCGGACTTTGTAGCAAGCACTTTTACCTGTTGAGACTTCTTGCTGGTCTTTTTGTTGTTTTAGACCAGTGGTTCTCAACCTTCCTAATGCTGTGACCCTTTAATACAGTTCACGTTGTGGTGAGTCCCAATCATAAAAGTATTTTGTTGCCACTTCATAACTGGAACTTTGCTACTGTTATGAATCATAATGTAAATATCTGATAGGCAGGATATTGGGTATGTGACCCCTGTGAAAAGGTCCTTTGGCCCCAAAGGGGTCATGACCCACCAGTTGAGAAGCACTATTTTGGACAGTTTTATTATGTAGCTCTGGCTGGCCTGGCACAAAACATTCTAGTTTTGAAAGCAAGCCTCCTGCCTCAGCTTCCTGGATGCTAGGGTTCTAGGCATGAGGCACCATACCCAGCTTAAACGACTGTATTTGTGATGGGCCCCCTGCATCCACCTGTATAGTTTCAGCTACTCAGGAAACTAAGGCAGGAAATCATGTGAACTCAGGAATCCAAGGCCAGCCTGTGCAACAAAGTGAAAACATCTCAAAAATCAAGAAAGGAAAAAAAGGAATTAACCTGGACATGGTGGATTAACCTGGAAATGGTGACTCAAGCTTTAATCCCAGAGTTGGGAGGCTGGGGCAGGAGAATTCCACAAATGTGAGAGCAGCCTGATAAGTGAGTTCCAGCCTAGCCTAGACCACAGCGTGAGATACTGCCTCAAAACATCGAGAAGCCATTGCCTTCTCAATGGAAGCAGGACTTTGTGTACTCTCTCTTCAGGAAGGCACACGTGACACCTCTATGCTGTTGGGAACGGTTGTTGTGGGGGTAGGCAGGTTATTTAGGAATGTTGGGGATGAGGGTGTTGTTGAACCCAGTGTCTTTTTTTTTAAATTCTGTTCTGAGACAGGGTCTCACAATGTAGCCCCCCGCTGGCCTCTGCTTCCTAAGTGGAGAGAATAAAGGTGTGCACCCCGACACCAGACCTACTTTTTTTTTTTTTTTTTTTGTAGTCAAAGTCTTGCTGTATAGTCATGGCTTGCCAGGGCAATCCTCATGTAGGACTGGCTGGATAGATTTGAAAAGCTAAGCAGTGTAGGACACATTTTCATTTTTCCCTTCATTACTCCACCCCCCAGCCCCCTACCCAACCCCACCCATCCCCACCTCACCCACATACCCAACCCTACCCCCCACCCCAGAAAAGAGTACTTAAGAGAGCAGGTGGATCCCTTAACACTCTTTGAATGTGCCGGAGGGTTCAGGAAGGGAAGTGCTCAGGGATTTAAAAGCTGCTGGAGAAATGTCACCGTACAATGACTGTAGGGGAACTGTGGCTCAGGGCAAAACCACTCACCTCTCGTGGCAGGCCCTGGGCTTGATCCCCAGCTCCACAGTCAATCGATGGGATCACACCGATAACTGGCAGGTCACTTCTGAGGACAAGCCCTGGGCACAGTGGGACTTCACTAGAGTCCTGCTCCTTTATTTCCAAATGGTGGTGTGGGTTCCACCCAGCTTCATCTTACGGTTCCCAAGAAAAGGACACGGCGCGTGCTTGTAGCAGAGCTGGTTCACAACTTCAGGGCCAGCCTTGGCTAGTAAATCCTACCTAGGTCAGCCTGTGCCAGAGAGACCCGTAAACACACACACATGCACACACACGCACACAGCGTCCAGTTGGTCTCCAGGAGACCCACCCAATAAGCACTAAGCACTCCAGGCCATTCTCCCACTCTTCTCAAAGGTTTCTGATGAGGAAACAGGCCTAACTCCAGCTCCAGCTAATGCGGCTGGGGTGGGAAGTTATCAAAGTGTTGTCAACACCCAAATTCAAAGGTTTCTATAAACGGTGGGGAGAGCAGCCTGAGCAGCCAGATCCTGCCTCTGCCTATCTGCACTGGGCCAGGTCGGCCTGCTGGGGTGGGCCGTGGCAGGGGAGCAGTGAGGGTGATACCAGGTCCTTGGGAGGCAGGGAACCGTTCCTACAAGAGCTCAGGTCAAAGTGTGGCAATCCCCACACTGCCCTCAGGTCTGGACCATACCAGGATTGGGTCGCTGGGCCAACACCCCTGGACACTGATAGGGCTTTGCTTCATCCTACTTAGATCAATGATGCTCTGTGGACAGATTGAGGTGTGCCCTGAAGTGCTGTGGGCTAACAACACGATGAACTAGATTCCCTGACTCCTACCCCAGGCTCCAGCCCCCCTCCCGACCCAACCCCTAAGCTCAGAGCCAAGTCGAGGACGAGTCCTGACTCCAGACTGAAATCTCCTGACCACCGGCCCCTTATGACTGGGCTCATCAGTCTTGGAGAGGGACAGGCAGACAGACCAAACCGGGACCCCTCAAAAGGCCTGTCTTAGGCCCCAACAACCAAAGACGACTTCCTCTTTGTTTCACTCTCCACACTTGGGGTCCCAACTCAGAGGAAAGGGGCCTCACCCCAGGAGCTTCAGTGCTGGAGCCTCTCTGCACTACACCCCAAATCAGCTCAAGGAAGTATGGACTCTGTGGAATAGTCTGGCCAGGGCTGAGTTCTGGAGGCGCTGTCCAAGCAGCAGCTGCTTCTTGCCTTCCTTCCTGCTAGCGCTGGGATTGAACCCAGGGCTGCCTGCACCCTGCCACCAATCCACCCCAACTGGACACAGAGCTTCTCCTGGGCTTGGCTTTCCCTAACAATGTGCTGTCATCTCCCAGCCCTTCTGTGACACAGGGTCTGAGTTGGGAACTAGCTCTTTATCCAGGTAGGATCTGAAACTGCAACCTCCCTGCCTCAGCCTCCCAAGTTGCTGGGATCAACTGTCTTGGTATTCTCAAGTGGTAGGTCAAGGCCAAGAAACCCCAGCTGTTGAATAGGCATTACTCTGAGTGCCAGGTACGGAAGGAAGTCTTGGTAGCTGTGGGCCGTGGAGTCTGAGCCCCAGCTCTTCTCACTAACGGGAGGGCCTTAGGTTCGCTGGCTGAGTCCATCTTCACGGAGCTTACGTCGCAGGTGTCTTAAAGCTGGGAGTGAGTGCCTGAACAGCTCACAACACAGTAGTTACCAACCTTGCCCGGATGCACGCTCCATCCCAGCTCTAGGGCAGTCAGAGGTGTGTGCGCGCCTACCGGCTCTGCCTTGAAGGTGGCCCTCCTGTTCCTCCCTGCCCGGGAGAGCAGGGCTTAAGCAAGGCCTCGTTAGGAGACTGAATGTCCAGGTACTACTGGGAAGACCAGAGGGAGCAAACGGGGTCAATTAGGGAGCAAGGTCCAAGAACAGGCGAGGGCACAATTCGGCAGGAGGGGTGACGGCAACCACTCTACACACAGGGACAGCAAAGCCTTGGGGCAGAGAGGGAGGGAAGGAGGGCAGCCAGGTGCCCAGGGCACAGTGCCCAGGAGGCACCAGGGAGTAGAGTGGGAAGGGCCCTGGGAAGCATGGGCAGCTGCTCTATGAGGGTCAGCTGGGGGACAGGGTCAGACACCATGCCAGACCCTACCCCATGCCACCTTTAACCCAATGGTCCTCAACCTGTGGGTCGTGACTCCTTTGACAAACCTCTATCTCCAAAAAATCCAGAACTAAGATTCCTAACCGTAGTAAATTTACAGTTATGAAGTAGCAACGAAAATAATTTTATGATTGGGGAGGGGGCGTCACCAGAACATGAGGAACTGTATTAAAGGGTTGCAGCATTAGGAAGGATGAGAACCACTGCTTTAACCCAAACCAACCCTGGGCACTGCTGGCACCAGCTCCTCCCAGTACCTGGCAGGTTAAGCCTCCAATGAGGGTGGCAGCTTCATCACCTTCCCAGCCCTCAGGACTGGGGGAGACAGGCAGAAAAGAGCAACCAGGGGACACTCTGGAGGCTGAAGAGGACCCAGGAACCAGAACCAAAAGGCCAAAAAGTGTTTCCTCTGGTAACCTTGGGGAGGAGGGCTGGGCGGAGCGCGAGTTGTCCTCAGGAGTGGATGGAGATGGGGCACTGCTATGGCTGCAGTTTTCCTTCCCCGTGGGGTCAGGTGAGGTGCCCTCTCCGCAGGCTCTGGAGTGGCCCCAGGTCTGGCCCCTTGTGCCACACCACATTGAGTTCACCCTGGAAGTTCTGAAACCCACGACCTGACCAAGGACCCAGCAGAAGAGAAGGCTTGGTGGAGGGAGAGGCAGGTGTGGCTGCCACGCTTCGCCAAGTCCTTCCTGAGGCTGCGTCCATCCTGGTGAAGAGGGTACAGGCGAGTCGGAGACCCCTGACGCTGGAGGAGTCGATTTATGTGCCTCGTGTTCTTCAGCTGCAAGGTCGGGGGTCTCAGTTTGGGGATGCTGGGTTGGACCCAGAGCTCACGACGGGGGCTGTGTGGAAAGAGAGCTGCCTTCTGTACCCCCTCCTCCTCTTCCCTTTGGGGGTGGGGTCTCCCACCCCCAGATCAGTCCACTTCTTGCTGTTGCTCAAGGGCAGGAAGAGGGCACAGCCAAGGTAGGAGACCTGACGCTGGACAGCACCAGCCTTGCTGGAGGCCTGTCCCGTGCTCTTTAGCTCTGGAGTCAGGGGTCTTGACTCGAGGACACTATGTTGGGCTCACAGCTCATCAGGGGGGCTGTGTGGGAGGGGGGATGCCTTCTGCACCCCCTCCTCCTCCTCGGGGCTGGCATCCCCCTCCAGGCTCGCTAGCTCCTTCCTCTGCTTGCTGCTGCCACCCCCGGAGCCCTTGACCCTGCCACGCTTCTTCTTGGATTTCTTCCCGCCCAGGGAGGCGATGTCCCCCTTCTTGCCAGACCAGCGCTCTGCCAGGCAACCTGAGGGAAGATGCAGAGAGGCTTTAGAAGCAGCTCGCTAGTGGGTGCGGGGAGGAGCCCCTCGTCCATCTCCACATCACTCCCTTGTGGCCACCAGACTCAGTTCTCCCGCTCTGGGCCAC